CCCTGACAAATATGATATTGAGACAAGCTGTTTATATATATTTTCAGTCCTGTATTATGTTGTATTTATCTCCATCTATTAATAATATTTCTAAGTAATAACCTTTCATAATTGGCAGTTAAAAGTTGAGACTTGAATGTAATAAAATAGTTGTATGTTATTTAATGATTTACATTTCTGTACTGGAATTATAGTAATGTTAACCATCTGGCAGCTCTTATATTATTTATTTGATTGGCAGACAGCCATACAGCCATCATTTGTTTACACCAGCAAACAATAAGCTAGAAACAACAGCTACAAACAGTTATAAAATACACATAATTCATCAAGTTTAGGTCATAATGTATTAAACATTTCCTTCCTTGAAATATTATTGACTTGTATTTATTACATTATCTCAGGTTAGTAATGTCATTTAACATACAAAGTAGCGGCAACATATAGTGATCATTTCTCCGTTGTCTGTCTGGCTCTTTATTCCAATTCTGTTGCATATCATTCCGTCTGTCCGTCACAAAACATATATATTTTGTGACATGGTCTATACTTAATTTGACAATGTCAAATCCTATAGTATTTTTGCTATATCGTCTTTATGTTTACCTCTTCTGTAAGGTATAAGATTAATGCCCTGCACTTCCTCCTTTTCACACCTTTTCCCCTCCCATTATGATTATGTATACATTTTTAGCTCACCAGAGCCGAAGGCTCAAGGTGAGCTATTATTATCAAAGGGGGATGCTTCCGGCGTCCATCGTCCGTCCTCATGCTTCACAATCGTCTTCTTTCTCTCAAACTACTTAGGCAGATTTTTTCAAATTTGGTCTGTAGCATCCTTGTGACAGGTCACACTTGAATTTGCTTTCATGTCAATCCAATTGGCCCCTTTTAGGGGTCAGCAGAGCTAAAAATAGAAAAACCTTTAAACATCTTCTCCTACAGAACTAATTGATGGATGATCACCAAACTTTGTCTGTAGCATTCTTGGGTAGTCTTTTATCAAGTTTGCTAATATTATTTTGATTGGCCCCATTTTAGGGGTCTCTAAGGGCTAAAAATAGAAAAACTTTTAAACATCTTCTCCTACAGAACTAATTGATGGATGATCACCAAACTTTGTCGGTAGCATTCTCGAGTAGTCTTTTATCAAGTTTGCTCATATTAATTTGATTTGCCTTTTAGGGGCCGCAAAAGCTAAAAATAGAATTACTGTTAAATGTCTATATCTACAGAACTAATGGATGGATGATCACCAAACTTTGTCTCAGTAGCATTCTTGGGTAGTCTTTTATCAAGTTTGCTAATATTATTTTATTGGCCCCATTTAGGGGCAGCTTAAGCTAAAAATAGAAATACCTTTAAATGTCTATTTCTACAGAACTAATGGATGTTTGATCACCAAACTGTGTCTGAAGCATTGTTGGGTAGTCTTTTATCAAGTTTGCTCATAGTATTTTGATTGGCCCCTTTTAGGGGCCGCTAAAATTAAAAATAGATATACATTTTAACGTCTATTGCTACAGAAGTAATTGATGGATGATCACCAAACTTTGTCTGTAGCATTCTTGGGTAGTCTTTTATTAAGTTTGCTCATATTAATTTGATTAGTCCCTTTAAGGGGTCAGTAAAATTAAAAATAGAAATACGTTTAAACATCTTTTCCTATAGAACTAATTAATGGATGATTACCAAACTTTGTCTGTAGCATTTTTGGGTAATCTTTTATCAAGTTTGCTCATATTAATATGATTGGCCCCTTTTAGGGGCCGCAAAAGCTAAAAATAGAAAAACCTTTAAACATCTACTTCAGAACCAATTGATGGATGATCACCAGACTTTGTCTGTAGCATTCTTGGGTACTCTTTTATCAAGTTTGCTTATATTAATTTGATTGGCCCCTTTTAGGGGCCACTAAAGCTAAAAATAGAAAAAACCTTCGAACATCATTTCCTACTGAAATAATTGATAGATGATCACCAAACTTTGTAGCATTCTTAGGTAAACGTCTATCAAGTTTGCTCATATTAATTTGATTAGCCACTTTTAAGCTAAAGCTTAAATACCCCAGGTCATGGCATTTCTTCAAATTATTGTTTAAACATATTCTATGCTCAAATATTAGAATATATTGACATTCCAACACTAAAAAGCAGTTGTTTCTGGTGAGCGACTCAGGGCCATCATGGCCCTCTTGTTAAATTAAGTAATGAAATATAGAAACTATGGAACATTTTCTATTTTCAGTGTGGTGTTGATGTCAATAAAGTGAATTCATATGACCAAACTGCCTTAGATATAGTGAACAAATTTACAACTAATCGTGCTGCCAAAGAAATTAAACAGATTTTAAAAGGTAAGAATACTAAATGCTCTTGTTCAAGGTGACAGTAGACAGATAAAAGTCACATGTTTGAGCCAGAAAATTTGTATTTCCTAGCATGTTCATGATACATAATACAATGGTCAGAGGACTCACTCTTAATTAGATAATATGCAGGTTAGATAATCCATGAGCTAGTATCAAGGTCATTGTTAAAATATTTAAAGTTTCAATGTCTCCTCTATATCTTTTGAACTGCTTGCATCATTGTTTGATTTTAGTTACTCTAGTTTTGTAATGTCCCCCATGGGTGTCATACCTATAGTTTTTACTAGCTTGTATGTATGTCTGACCCCATTGTGATGATTTCTAGCTAAAGTTGAAATATGCATCACTTGGGATCCAAAACAGAAAATCCTTGATGAAGTGGGGTTAAAAATCCTTGAAACATTGGAGGTTGATTAGCTTTGTGCAGTATATACTTATTTGTTGTTGTCAAAAACTTTAATGTAGCCCACAATTCAAACATTTTAACATCAAACTTGGCATACTTGTTTATCTTGACCAGGCACATTTGTTAGACAAGGGGGAATCACTCTGAAAGTAATATTTTTAGGACTAATGTCCCTTTTTATTTTAGGATGTCTATACAAATTGGTTATTGATAGACATTGCCCTGAACACCCCATATTATGCTCTTTTTTAATTTATTCAAACATTAAAACATTATGTCCTGTGTTCCCTCTGTAAATTTTGAAAAGTTTAGTTTTATTTTGGAGGTCTACTTAGGAAGAAAACATAATTGTGTCAAATTAAGATGACAACCTGCAGTATGGCATGTTAGATTTATGCACAGTTTTACAATATAACTGCTATATTATCATAGGTGTGGTGTATGATAATGTTATTTATGATCACATACAACATTTACCTTTGCATGTCTCAAATAGCCGAGTCATGTAGATCTTGTTAATCTTTATTTCTTATTTTATCAAAATACATTTAATTATAAGTTAAAGAAAGATGACAACTCTAGTATTAATGTTAGATAATAACTTCAGAAACTGCATAATTACATTTCAAAATGGGGTAGAATGGGCTGAGATAAAAACTTTCTTAGAATTTAAAACAAAAAAAAAGAATTTAATTGAAAAACGTGACAGATACATTTAAAATGAGATAGAGATTGAGGAAAGGGAAGTAACTGTTATCTGTATGATACAAAATCATTTTCAACAAAACAATCAAGCTTTTATGATCACTGCGTCGTAGTTGCGTAAAAAACTTATATGTAGCCAATTTCAATTACAGGGAAGTACAATTTCATGTTATCACATTTTTATATGTAGAAAATGGTGGTCTTGTTTTTCCTGCAAAATCAATATATTTAACTAAATTGATACTGATATATTAAGTATATGAGTATAATCGTTCATATGGCAACAGTAATAAACTACTGTCTATGTCAGATTGGAAGAGATTCAGTCTACATTAGATGGCTCCATACAGTCAATATCTCATTATTTAGTCTAGTGTCTGTACAACTGTGAGGCATTTCTCTACCAATAAATTGACTTATCTTAATGATTACAGAATTTAGAGTTTCTGTATAAAATCTACCTTCATGTTCTAGTTAAATATGTCAGTCATTTTATAGCTTGACTATACGATATATGTATTTGGAGGACTGTCCTATTCACCCTGGTGTGCATGTCCAGATATCAGATTAAAGTTTTTGTGCAGTGAAACTTCAATCAACTGCATCATATGTTACAGGTTCAAAACTCTTGAAGTAATATTTTCAGAATATTCAATAATCTCCCTTTGAAATTATAATATTTCTTAAAAAAATTCTTCTTTTTCACTCTGACTTCTTTATTTCATAAGGGATTTGAACTTCAGACTAACATTTAATTCTTGTCAAAAAAGTAGAAACTTTTATATATCAAAACATCATTTATTGTAAGTTAAATATTAACTGGAACAATTGAAATGGCAGAAATTTGATTGAAACTGCACTTTGGTATACAATTGATATATTAAATGGAAAGTTTATTTTACAGTACATTAATAGTTGCTACAAAAATGTTTATGTAATATGATATAAAATATGTTTATTGCTTTTGAAGTTATTATCCGTGAAATTATATTATAAATTATATAAGTATTTTATTACAGCTGTGGATAAAATATATACAGTGTTCAGATATATAGGTTATACATTTATAAAATGTTTTGTTGATATTCAAGAGAAAGAATACAAACAATTTAACTTCACAAAGGGAGATGATTCTGTGAAAATATTAAAGCTGCATGCCTCCAGATGAGCCAAAACATTTCAATAAAATCATTATTGAGAAAAATGCACTAAAGTTTTAAGAAAGGTAAAAAACATTCAAGGTCCAAGTTATATTTTACATGTAATGTGCGGTTTAACACTGATTTTGCAGTATTTTATCACCATTTTTCTACTGCGTTACAAATGCAGTTAGGGCTGTTTTTGCATATGTTGGCCACTTTTTAGCTCGACTATATGGAGAGCTGTCCTACTCGCCCCGGCGTCGGCGTCCGCGTCCAGATTTTAGATTAAAGTTTTGGTGCAGTAAAATATTTTTCACTATAACTTTGTCATTTCTTAAGGTATCAACTTCAAACTTCAAATATATGTTCCTTATCATCAACCACATCTTATGTGACAAGGTTCATAACTCTAGCACCAATATTTTCAGATTTATCTCCCCTTGAACTTTTTGAATTTTCCTTAAAAAATACTATTTTTTACTGATACTTCTTTATTTCTTAAGGGATCATACTCATACTTCAAATATATGTACCTTATCATCATCCCCATCTTATGTGACAAGGTTCATAACTCTAGCACCAATATTTTCAGATTTATCTCCCCTTGAACTTAGAATTTTCTTTAAAAAATACTATTTCTTACTGTTTCTTCTTTATTTCTTAAGGGATCAACCTCAAACTTCAAATATATTTACGTTATCATCATCCCCATCTTATGTGACAAGGTTCATAACTCTAGCACCAATATTTTCAGATTTATCTCCCTTTGAACTTAGAATTTTCCATAAAAAATATTATTTTTTACTGTAACTTATTTATTTCTAAAGGGATCAACTTCATACTTCAAATATATTTACAGTATCATCATCCACATCTTATGTGACAAGGTTCATAACTCTAGCACCAGTATTGCAAGAATTATCTCCCCATAAACTTAGATTTATTTACTAGATAAATGTTATTTTTTATTTTAACTTTTTTATTAGCTCACCTGAGCTTGCTCAGGGTGAGCTTTTAGGATCGGTGAATGTCCGTCGTCCGTCGTCCGTCCGGCCGTCCACAATTGCTTGTGAACACTCTAGCGGTCGCATTTTTGCCTCAATCATCATCAAACTTGGTCAGGATGCTTATCTAGTTGAAAGCTCGGATGAGTTCGAACATGGGTCATCTCGGATGAAAAACTAGGTCACAAGAGCTAAAAATAGAAAAACCTTGTGAACACTCTAGAGGTCACATTTTTGACCCAATCATCATCAAACTTGGTCAGGATGTTTGTCTAGGTGATAGCTCGGATGAGTTCGAACACGGGTCATCTCGGATGAAAAAGTAGGTCACAGGAGCTATAAATAGAAAAACCTTGTGAACACTCTAGTGGTCACATTTTTGAACCAATCATCATCAAACTTGGTCAGAATGCTTGTCTAGTCAATTGCTTGGATGAGTTCGAACATGGGTCATCTCTGATGAAAAAACTAGGTCACAGGAGCTAAAATAGAAAAACCTTGTGAACACTCTAGTGGTCACATTTTTGACCTAATCATCATCAAACTTTGTCAGGATGCTTGTTTAGATAATAGCTCAGATGAGTTCGAATATGGGTCATCTCGGATGAAAAACTAGGTCACCGGAGCTATAAATAGAAAAACCTTGTTAACACTTTAGCGGTCACATTTTTGCATCAATCATCATCAAACTTGATCAAGATGCTTGTCTAGGTGATAGCTCGGATGAGTTCGAACATGGGTCATCTCGGATGAAAAACTAGGTCACAGGAGCTAAAAATAGAAAAACCTTGTTAACACTCTAGTGGTCACAATTTTGACTCAATTGTCATCAAACTTGGTCAGGAAACTTGAATAGGTCATTGCTTGGAATAAATCGAACATGGGACATCTCGGATGAAAAACTAGGTCACATGAGCTAAAAATAGAAAAATCTTGTTAACACTCTAGTGGCTACTGTTGTGATCCAAATATTCTGTTAATTGGTCTGAAAGTTTTTTTTGATGATTTCTAAGTCAAGATCAAACATGGGTCATCTTGGACGGAAAACTAGGTCACACCGCCCAAATATGGAAAAACCTTGTTAACATTCTAGTGGTCACATTTTCGACTCGATTATCATCAAACTTGGTCAGGATGCTTGTCTAGGTAATTGCTTGGATTAGTTCGAAATCGCATGTGAAACTAGGTCACCGGAGCTAAAAATAGAAAAATCTTGTTAACACTCTAGTTGCTACTGTTTTGATCCAAGTATCCTGGAAATCGGTCTGAAAGTTTGTTTTGATGATTTCTAGGTCAAGTTTGAATATGTGTCACCTGGGTAAAAAACTAGGTCGCACTGCTCAAATATGGATAATCCTTGTTAACACTGTAGTGGTCACATTTTTGACTCACCTGTCATGAGACTTGGTCAGAATGCTTGTCTAGGTAATTGTTTGGATGAGTTTGATAATTCAGGTGAGCGATCTAGGGCCATCATGGCCCTCTTGTTTTTAAAGGTATCTACCTCAAACTTCAAATACTTATTCCTTATCATCAATTACATTTTATGTGACAATGTTCATTACTGTTGAAGCAATATTTACAGATTTATCTCTCTTTGAACTTAGGATTTTCTTTAAGAAATATAATAACTTCTTTATTTTTTAAGGTATCTACTTCAAACTTCAAATATATATTTCTTATCATTACACAAATGTTGTGTGGCAAGGTCCATAACTCTAGCATGAT